CTGACTGTGTTAACAAATAAAATCCAGTGAGCTATAAAGAAAACGATGCACCACAACCAAGTGAAGCTTACCCTGAGAAGGTACGGCTGGTGCAGTATTTAGGAAAATCAGTCAGTGCGTATCACCACACTGAGTGTCCAAAGAAGAAACATCACGTGAACACATTAAAGGATGAAGACACAGCACGTGACAAAATACAGCGCTCATTGGTGACGAAAACTCTAGCAAACTAGAGGGAACTTCCGCACCCTGACAAAGGGCATCGCATGACACCTACCGCTAACACCGTGCTTCGTGGTGGACGACAATTCAGCCTGGGAACAAGGCTCAGGTGTGCAGTCATCGCCATACTTCATGCACCTGGGGGTCTTTGCCAGGGCAGTAGGTGAGAAGGAAGGATAGCCACACACGAGAGGAGGAGATGCCGCTGTCCTGTTTACAGACCACACGACTGTCTGCGTCAGAAACTCCAGGGAATCTACACAGACTCCTGGGGCTAATAGGTGGGCTTAGCACGGTGGTGGGTACAAGGTCAACCACAAAGACCAAGTGCATCTATTTACCACCAATGAACAACTGAAAACTGAATTTTTAAAAGTACCATTTACAATAGCTCCCCACAAAAATGAAATACCTAGGTATAAATCTAACAAAACATGTACTGGATCATTGTTCTGAACACTAGAAAAATGCTGACAAAAAGAATTTTAAGACCTAAACACTAACTAGAGAGAAGAGAAATTGTGTTCAGGGATTGGAAGCCTCAAAATTGTAAAGATATCAATTCTCCACAAACTGATTATATAACGCCAATAAAAGTTTCAGGAGAATTTTTTTGTACATAAAGAGGGGCTGACTATAAAATTTATATGGAAGGGCATAGGAACTAGAATAGCTAAAACAATTTTGAAAAAGAAGATTGAAGTTGGAGGACTTGTACTGCATAATATTAAGGTCTACTCTGTGGGGACTTCCCTGGCGGTGCAGTGGTTAGGAATCCGCCTGCCAATGTAGGAGACACGGGTTTGAGCCCTGGTCCGGGAAGATCCCACATGCCACAGAGCAACTAAGGCCGTGCACCACAACTACTGAGCCTGCACTCTAGAGCCCGTGCTCGGCAACAAGAGAAGCCACCGCAAAGAGAAGCCCGCGCACCACAATGAAGAGTGGCCCCCGCTCGCCGCAACTAGAGAAAGTCCGTGCACAGCAATGAAGACCCAACACAGCCAAAAATGAATAAGTAAATAAATAAATTTATTTTAAAAAACCCACATCTTTAAAAAAAAAGAAAGACTTACTATGTGGCTGCATCATCAAGACAGCATTGGGGACAGAATCCCAACAGAGCGTCCAGAAACGAGCCTCACAGACATGGCGCATCGCACAGAGGTGCAGAGGGTTCCACAGAGGAAGGATGGTCCTTTCTCTTTTTAAAAATTAGTTAATTATTTTCTTGACTGCATTGGGTCTTCATTGCTGCGTACAGGCTTTTCTCTAGTTGTGGTGAGCAGGGGCTACTCTTTGTTGCAGTGCGTGGGCTTCTCATTGCGGTGGCTTCTCTTGCTGTGGAGCACAGGCTCTAGGCGCATGGGCTTCAGTAGCTGTGGCACGTGGGCTCAGTAGCTGTGGCTCGCGGACTTAGTTGCTCCGAGGCATGTGGGATCCTCCCGGACCAGGGCTCGAACCCGTGTCCCCTGCAGATTCTTAACCACTGGGCCACCAGGGAAGACCCCATCCTTTTTTTTTTATAATTTTGTTGAAGTATAGTTGATTTACAATGTTGTGTTAATTTCTCCTGCACAGCAAAGTGACTCAGTTATTTATACACACACACATACACACACACACACATATATATTCTCTTTCATATTCTTTTCCATTATGGTTTATCACAGGATATTGAATAGAGTTCCTTGTGTTATGCAGTAGGACCTTGTTGTTTATCCATCTTGTATATAAGAGTTTGCATCTGCTAACCCCAAACTCCCATTTCTTCCCTTCCCTACTCCCCCTCCCCCTTGGCAACCGCAAGTCTGTTCTCTATGTCTGTGAGTCAGTTTCTGTTTCATAGATAGGTTGGTTTGTGTCATATTTTAGATTCCACATGTAAGTGAGATCATACGGTATTTGTCTTTCTCTTTCTGACTTACTTCGCTCAGTATGATAATCTCTGGGTCCATCCATGTTGCTGCCAAGGGCATTATTTCCTTCTTTTTTGATGGTTGAGTCATAGTCCATTGTATATATGTACCACATCTTCTTTAGAAAGGATGGTCTTTTCAACACCCAGTGCCGGTGCCTTGGCCGTCCACATGCAGAGGAGGTGGACTTGACCAAGACACACATCTTACAAAGAATAATTCAAAATGGTTCATAGATCAAGTTACATCATGAAACTAAGAGACTTGAGGAGAAAGAATTCTTCATGACCAGGGGTTAGGCAAAAAGTTCTTAGTAACAACACAAAAAGACCATCCACAGAAAACCACACGGATAAATTTGGCTTCATCAAGAATTTTAAAATTTGCTCTGTGAAATACACTGTTCAGATAAGATACGGACTGAGAGAAAATACTTGCAAACCTCATTCAGGAGGAGGGGCTGCACCTAGAATATATAAAGAATTCTCCAAACTCAGCAGGAATAAGTCAAACAATCCAACCAAAAGATGTGCCACGTGACCAGAGAGGACACACGAGTGCAAAAAGCGCGTGGGGAGGCTCTCGGCATCCTCAGCCCTTGGTGCAAACTGAAGCCACAGCGAGGCTGGACCGGCATCGGCCAGACCGGCTGAAATGGAAAGTTGTGACGCGGACACTGGAAGGACGCAGAGAGACCGGCTGTCTCACACTAGAGAACATCTGCGCAGTTTTGCATCGAGTTAAACCCAGCAGTCTGTCTCCGGGGTGGGAGCGAAAGCACAGGTCCGGCGAAGCCTCGTGCATGAATGTCCACGGCAGCTTTTCACAGTAGGAGAGCGGGAACCCCGATGCCTCCAGCACCGGGGGTTCAGCAAACGGTTCATCAGAGCAGCCGGTCTCCACGTGGGCATGGGGGAGATGCTGGGCCTCAGGTCTCAAGCTGAGGCGAAGAAGCCAGGCTCAATTCATCTCTGAGACCCCTCCCGAGGACAAAACCTCAGCGAGGAGAGCCAGTGGGGTGGGGGGCCGGGGCTGGGCTGGGCGGTTCTGGTTGCGGTGGCCGGGGTCACACAAATAGACCTGTGTGCACAACAAGGGGCAATTTCACCGCATGCCTGCAAACCACCAAACCACTCGACTGGGGCTGACTCTCGCCCTCCTCATGGGACCACAGCTGGTCCTGACTCCGGGCCTTTGCTCTGGCCGAGCCCTCGGCCTTGGGCCCTTTCCAGTCACCTGACTCCGCTGACCTGCCCCTCGCCTGAGCACTGGCACCGTCCTCCCACTGGGGAAGGGCGGGGTCGGAGGGCAAAGTCTGAGCAGCCTCGGAGGGGACCACCCTGGCCGGGGGTGGTGACCCCAGGTGGGGGCAGGCAGCAGCGGCTCGTCACCTGCCTGACAGCGGACCCGGGCTCAGGTGAGCGGTGACCAGCGTCGGGTGGCGGGCAGAGGCGGAACGGCACCTGGCAGGTGCCTGAGAGGCGACAGACGGGCCAGCTTCCACGCTGCTGCCACTGCTTACCCACCAGCCCAGGTGAGGGGCCGTCTTGGTCTGGGGGTGCTGACCGGTCCTGTGGGCGTGCTCTGTGTGGAGTCTACCCAGCCTCTCTGCCCACCCACTGGGGGCTCAGGCTGGGGGCTCAGGGTGCTACACGCCCTGGAGGGGGGTGTGAGGGGGTGCCGGTGTCCCTGGCCCTGCCTGTAACTGGTCTGTCTCTGTGAGTGGCCTGTGGCCAGCGTGCTTGTGGGGACACAGGCTGGGTCCCGTCCGGCCTGGCCTGGCGGCGGCTCGAGCAGACCACCCGTCCTCTCTGAGCCTCGCTCTTCCCTCCTTAAAATGGGATCATGACGCAGACGGGCCGCCTGGAGCCCAGGGCCCTGCATTCGCCCTGAGAGGCGGACGCCCCCTGGGAACAGCCGCATTCCTGCGGGGATACTGATGCCGCACAAAGTCCATGAGCCTCAAAGCTCTGCAGACCTCAGACCATTTCCTTTGGACAGTGGTGGCAACTGGCCCGAGGCCCCTGGTGACCTCGTGTGCGTGGGTCTCCACTCAGGGACATTTGGGGGCTGGAGAGGGCCCTGCAGAGGCCTCAGCCACTGAGCTGGTGCCGTGGCCCCGTGCAAACCACATTCCTGGGTCAGCCTGGGCCGGCTGCGAGGGATCGTCATGGGGCCAAGTGAAAAGGTTCAGATCAGAGAAGCCCGAGGTTGGGTTTTTAAACAGAAACCAGATGAATCTGTTCAGAACCCCTCAGCCTTCAGGTCCTTCGGTAGAGAAACCGTGCTTCCCGGGACCCGCTGACCTGCTTGGCAACAATTAGACATCCAGGCAGTCGGTCAGCTGTCCCCACCGAGTTCAGGCCTGACCCCAGGACTCTCAGAAAACTGTCCTGGGAGAGGCCTGGGGTGAGGGCTGCAGGGAGGAGCCAGGTAGGTGGGAGAGGTGGGGCCCTGGGTTCCCGGAGTTCAGTGTGGATCTGGGGCTCCTTATCCTGCGGGGGACGGGAGGGGAGCTGGGGTCCTGGGAGGGTGCGGGCAGTGGGGCTGGCAGATCACACGGGGGTGGCTCCACTGGGCCCCGGCGTGGCACTAGAAAGGGGGTCTCCGGGACCTCCTCGTTGCTGTGTGTTGCAGCATAGCCTGTCGCCAGACAGGGCGTCCCGGTGCCCGGCCCCTGCCGGCCCCTGTGACGCTGTGACACCATGCGTAGCCCGGCTCTCAGGCGTGGTCTTTAGTCCTGCCCATCGACCCAGCCCGGGTGGGCTGTCTGAGCCCCGGGGAGGACCGAGGGGCTCTCCAGGGCAGCGGCATCTGCAGGCAGCAGAGTCTGGGTGCTCACTGCTGCCAACCCCACAGGTGCCAGTCCCACCCCCATGGGGCTGACATGGAAGGAACGGGCCTTCACAGCCCTGCTGGGGGCTGCAGTGGTCTCAGGCCTCACCACGCTCATTCTCTTCCTGGTGGAGGCCACCAACGTCCTCCTGCCCGCAGACACCAAGGTGTGCCCCCAGACCCCACCCAGGGGAGGCTGGGCTGGGCCGTGACGGCCCCTACGCCCTCCTGACCCTGGTGTCACTCCCAGTTCGGGATCGTGTTCGACGCTGGGTCCTCCCACACATCACTCTTTGTGTATCAGTGGCTGGCAAACAAGGAGAATGACACAGGTGTGGTCAGCCAGGCCCTGGCCTGCCGGGCGAAAGGTCAGTGGGCAGTTCCGTCAGCGGTGGACGGGTGCTGGGAGCTGCCAGCCGCTGCCCGGCTGGGGTTCCCAGCTGGGTGGAGGTTTGGGAAGTGGCACAGGCTGGAGCTGGGCAGTAGCAAATCAGCCTAAAGAAAAGGGGCTCAGAAAGGTTCAGTGAGTTGCCCCAGGGGGCCCAGCCGGTCAGTGGGAGCCAGGCCAGGGCTCTGGATCTGTCCTGCCTGAGCCTGCAGAGACCCGAAACAAACCCTTCCAGCTCCTGGGGCTCCAGACGTGGCATCCCTCCAATCTCTCCCTCGGACTTCACGTGGCCTTTCCCCTGTGTGTCTCAATTCTCCCTCTTCTGTCTCTTGTGAGGAGGCCAGTCGTTGGTTTCAGGGCCCACCTGGGGAATCCAGGGTGCTCTCCTCTTAAGATCCCTAACTTAATGACATCTGCAAAGACCCTTTTTCCAGATACGGTCCCGTCCGCAGGCTCCGAGGGTCATGATGCATCTTCGGGGGCTGCTTTTCAGCTCAGCTTCCTTTGGGGCCTGGAGCCTTGTCCTGTGGTGTTGTGTTTCAGGGCCTGGCATCTCTTCCTACGCCTCTGACCCTGCACAGGCTGGCGAGAGCCTGCAGGGCTGCCTGGAGGAGGCGCTGGCACTGATCCCAAAGGCCAAGCATCAGCAAACGCCCATGTTCCTGGGGGCCACAGGCGGCATGAGGCTGCTCAGGTGTGGGGGCTGGCGTGGGCCCGCACGCGTCCCTGGGGTGCAGTGTGAGAGCTGTGGTCCCGGCTCAGGCGGGATGGAGGAGGGGTGGCTTCTGCCAGCTCCAGCGGCCTGTCCTCTCCGCGCAGCCAGAAGAACAGCTCTCAGGCGGAGGACGTCTTCACAGCGGTCAGCCAGGCCCTGAGCCGGTCTCCCGTGGCCTTCTGGGGTGCTGAGCTCCTGGCTGGGCAGGACGAAGGGGCCTTAGGTTGGGTCACCATCAACTACGTCCTGGGCCTGCTGGTGCAGGTGCCACAGACGGCCCCAGGGTGGGAGGGGCGCCTGGGGGGGGTCATCGTGGCCGGCCCCAGGGTGGGAGAGGCACTCGGGGGGGTCATCGCGGCCCCAGGACTCAGTGTCCCCTGTCTGTGGTCAGTACTCCTTCTCCGGAGAATGGATCCAGCCTCTGGAGGGGACGTTGGTGGGCGCCCTGGACATGGGTGGGGCCTCCACCCAGATCACCTTTGTGCCTGGAGGCCCCATCCTGGACACCACCACCCAGGCCACCTTCCGCCTCTACGGCACAGAACACAGCGTCTACACCCACAGCTACCTCTGCTTCGGGCGCGACCAGATGCTGAACCGGCTCCTGGCCGGGCTGGTGCAGGTGGGCTGCTCTGCGGGAGGAGGGCGGGGCACCCTGCCAGGCGGGTGCTCAGAGGTGCCCCCACCCTCCCCGCAGAGCAGCCCGAGCCTCCTGGTGCGTCACCCCTGCTACCACAGCGGCTACCGGGGCACGCTGGCCCTGGCCCCCCTGTACGGGTCGCCCTGCGTCCAGGCCGCAGCCCCCCGAGACCTCGGCCAGAACCTCACTGTGGAGGGGACGGGGAACCCCGGGGCCTGTGTCGCCGCCATCCGGGGTCTCTTCAACTTCTCCAGCTGCGACGGCCGAGGAGACTGCGCCTTCGACAGCGTCTACCAGCCCCCCGTGCGGGGACAGTTCTACGTGAGCCCCCGTGGCCTGCCCTCGGGGCCAAGCTTCCCCTCGGGGCCCCAGGGCCCGAGCCCAGGGGGCCCTTGGGGAGCCTGGGACCCCAGGTGGGGTGGGGCGGGGCGGGGCGGGGCGGAACCTGGCTCATCCTGGGCCCCCCGCCTTGCGCTCTGCCGGGCACTTCACCCCCTCCCCCAGGCCTTCTCCAACTTCTACCACACCTTCCACTTCCTGAACCTCACCTCCAGGCCGCCGCTGGCCACGGCCAATGCCACCATCTGGGAGTTCTGCCAGAGGCCCTGGAAGCTGGTGGGTGGATGCGGGCCGCCTGCCCCCCACCTGGGCCCCAGCTCCCTGGGCTGCAGACTCCACCGAGCGGGGACCCCGTCCCAGGCAGTGTGGCCGGGGGGCTCCAGGCAGGAGACTCAGGGGCACGCCTCCGAGGGGCGCCAGCCTTGGGGGCCCAGGAGGTGAGGCCTCATGGGGCTCCTGGCCTCCCGGGCCCCCAGGTGGAGGCGAGCTCGCCCGGGCAGGACGGCCAGCTGCGCGACTACTGTGCCTCGGGCCTGTACATCCTCACACTCCTGCTCGAGGGCTACGGGTTCAGCCAGGAGACCTGGGGCGGCATCGAGTTCCGCGAGCAGGTGACGGCTCAGGGCGAGAGGGGGTTGGGGCTTCGGGCCGCTGCCTGCAGCCTGACCGGCCGTGTGGCCCGCAGGCCGGTGGCACCGACATCGGCTGGACGCTGGGCTACATGCTGAACCTGACCAGCCTGATCCCAGCCGAGGCGCCCGCCCAGTGGCGGGCACAGAGCTATGGCGTCTGGGTGGCCGGAGTCGTCTTTTTGGTGCTGACCCTCACGGCCATTCTTGGGGCCACTGTGGTGCAGCTCTGGCTCCGGGACTAGGCTGGCTGCCACCTGGTGCTGGCAGGCAGAGGCCTGAGCTGGCTGGAGCCTTCCTGAGCCCCGACCCCCAAGGCTCGCCCTGTGGGCTCTGGGCCCATGGTCACGTGGCCCCCTTTTGCCGTTGGGGTCATTCTGGCCACGGAGGCTGTACCGTGGCCCCGACCATGGCCTTCAGGTGCTGGCGCCCCAGCGGGTTTCCCATGTTGCACGAGGGCTGGGCCATCGCGACCCCTGCAGCCCTCAGGGCTGTGTGACTGCAGACCTACGGGTTCAGGGCCAGGCCAAGCCTGGGGGTAGGGGTGACTGCTGGAGGTAGAGGGCCCGGCTCTTTGGGAGGGGCCGGCAGCGGGCCCTGGCCTCTCCAGGAGCTGGCAGAGCCAGTGTTCAGGCTCTGTGGGCTCTTCCCAGAGCGGCCACCCCACACCCTCGGAAGCCTCAGTCAGGTCCCCTCAGTGGCCAAGCCCAGAAGACGGACCACACCTTGGGGGGCAGGTCGCCTTTATTAAACCCTCCTTGCCACGGACTCCTTAGCGCCAAGCTCCTCATGTGCGCCGGCCGGCCGGGACCACGAAGCACTTGGGGAAAATCCCGACGCGGCCGTCACAGTGGCCCTCCAGCCACGCCTGGTCCACTGCAGGGGGCGTCAGGGTATCACCACATCTGCTCGCAGACACCGCGTCTGCCCCGGGGCCCCGGCAGGGCGATGGGGGGCGGGGGCAGTGCCAGCTCTACCTTCGCACAAGACGTCCACCGTGTCTCCGGGCTGCAGGGCCAGGTCCTCGGGCCCCTGGGCGGAGTAGCCGTGCCGGGCCACCACCTGGTAGAGGACAGGCCGGCCGCCCACTCCCTGCGGCAGCGGGGAGGGCTGTAGGGTAAGCTCGGCACGGAGAGAAGGGCTGGACATCCCCGCCCCGGGCCGCCTCCCGCCCCGGCTCACCTGGCACCGTAGCTGCAGCTCCCCAGAGCCGGCAGCCGCGCCCCGCCAGGCCCTCTGCAGTGCCTCCTCCCCGGTGAGGGGCACCCAGCCCCTGCTGTCACTAGGGTCTCGGTAACTGCAAAGAGATGCCTCAGAGTGGGCAGCGTGGGCAGGGGCTTTAGGGAGGGTGCTGACCTCTGACCTCAAAAGCCTCTCCCAGGGCCGGGACTAATAGGTGCCCAGCTTGGAGCCCTCCCACCCGGCTTTCCAGCTCACCTGAGCTGCCCACTCTGGGCCTGGGGAGGGAGGGCCTGGCTCATCAGGGCCCGCAGGCTGGACAGGTCAGCTCCTCTTGGGGCCCTCAGGGCCAGGGTGAAGGTGCACTGCACTGTGAAGGTCACCAAGGACTCGGGGCCCCCTGCAGCCACACCCTGGGTCCAAGGCCCCAGATCTGTGTGCCCAGGACTGCCAGGGTGGGCTTCAGGCCAGGGGGCAGGGCAGGGACCGGGAGGGTGGGAGGGGCTGGGGCTCTGGACTCGTGAGGCTTCTTTAGCTGGGGTCCCTAGAGGCATTCGGAGGATGGGGTCTGGCCTTGGAGCCCCTCATCCCTTATGAGAGCCAGTGCCTCTTACCCCAGCGCCTGCAGGATCCTCAGAGGAGCCAGGGCCCAGCCCCCCAGCCACCAGCAGCCCTGCGGAGCGGGGAGGAGTCAGGGACTCCGGTGGCTACCGACCCCCAGAGTAGAACGTGTTGGAGTAGAGGAGATGCTGACACCACCGGGAGCCCCAAGCCCACCAGCTTCCTCCCTGGAGGACAAAGAGGCTGCTCCCAGCCCCGCCCAGATACCTGCCTGGGGCTCCCTCCACAAAGTGCCCTCCCACTACCAGCTGCTCAGGGCGCCTCACCTGGAGGGACCCACTGGCCAACTTGCTCCACGTGAGGCTTCTGCAAGGGAAGCCGCAGGCTGGGGCTCTGCCGGGCCGGGGTGGGGTTGAGGCCGGGGTGGGGCCCTGAGGGCGGAGGTAGCTTTCCCTGGGCCTGGAGCTCGTCGGGGGCGGTGCCCAGACACTGTCCAAGTAGAGCCAGTGGTGAGGGGCATGGCCTGCAAGACAGCCTGGCCAGGCAGGAAGCCACAAATCTAACGGCGTTGGAGGTGAATCCGGGGCATGAACCAGGTCCCTATAGGCCTGGAGACTACAGACAGGCCACCTTGCACTGTGGGCACCAATCCGTCTTCCCCTGGCCCACCAGGAGGCGGCAGCTCCAGCTGGGGTTCCCGGTGACCCTGGGGGCTGGGGACCGAAGCCAGGGACCCGCTGGACTTCACCCTTGTTGGGACCCTAAGCAGTGGGTGTGCTGAGGGGCGGCAGAAACCCCAGAGGGCCCCAGTCCTGGCCACACCGACCAGCTGACTCAGATGCTGATTTCAGGTGGGATCTGAAAGTTGGACTAAGTTTGTAAACGGAGTGTTTAGATTCTTATCAGACTTGTCAGCTGTTTAAAGCAATTAGGAAGCTGTTGCCCACTGTCAGGAGGGTCAAGTGCTCGAACGCCCAGTATGTGAACTCAGGGCCACGGGGTTTCATCAAGCACAGCTGTGATGGATGGCTTTCAAGGGCACCAACTGTCCACCGAGTTAGCTGGACTTCAGTGAAAGAGGAAGTGAAGTGACCGTCTCGTTTTAAACTGAGTCCTTTGATAAACTGAATGTGAAATTTAACCACCTTCTCTGTGCTGGGCGGCCTCCCGGCACACCTGCCCGGCACATCTGCCCAGGAGAACCCTGTGCCCCTCCCTTCCTCGGCCTCACCCAGTGCCTGGGGCATCTCGGGGAGTCCCATGTCCAAGAAGGAAGGCCGGGGGCCCCAGCTGAGGGGTGGGAGCCTCATGGCTATGACGCACGGGCTGCAGGCCTCTGCCGGGCCCAGGGTGGGGAGCAGACACCCAGGCTCCTGTCTGTGCACATGTGAGCAGCAGTGTGTCCCTGACCCATGGCGTCCGGTCACTGTGGCTGGCTCCCGCCAAGGCCCTGGCCTGCCTGAGGAAGCCAAATCTCTATCCCCCAGCAGGTGATGAGGCCACCTGCCCTGCCCTGAGACCCTTGCAGGGCCCAGCTGTGGCTGGTCCCGAAGCTCAGCCTGGGGCGGGGGTCCTCCAAATACTATGGCCCCTGCCTGCCCTGCCCACGCTCACCCACCTGCTCATCACTGGTGACCAGTGTGCCATGGTCAGCCCGCCCAGCCTGGCCAGAGCTGACCTCCGTCTCCACATCGAGGGGCGTCCTGGGGCCACAGCGGGTACCAGGTCTGGAGGGGCCTGTGTCACGGGCCCTGGAGGGAAGGGGGAGGGGTCCTCGTTCTCAGGCCTCACCCAGCCAGCACAGAGGTCGAGGTCCTCCATGAAAGGTGGGCCTAGGAGAGCCCTGAGCTGGAAACAAACAGCACCCCAGTCGGACCACAACCTGTGAGGCTGCATCTGGTGGGGCCGGCAGGGCTGCTCCCGTCGGCCTGCAGCCCAGTCTGCACCCCACCCTGGTGCCTCTGGTGCCCACCCCCAGGCCTGAGCAGAGCTTCAGTGAGGGGCAGGCAGGCTCTTTCCCCAGGAGCAGAACAGGCTCAGGACAAACGGGGGCACAGGGAGGGCTGAGCAAGGCGGGACCCCTCGCCCTGCACCAGGGCTCCAGCCGGTCCAGAAAGGGGACACAGCCACCTGGTCCCTGGCCTGGAGTGGCCACACTGGGCCTGCAAAGGGGCTCTGCCGACAGGGGAAGAAGAGTGGGGGGCCACGGCCCCTTCCTACCGTTCGGCAGCCCCAGGCCTGGCTTCACCACGTGCGTAGAGAGCCTGTGGGCACACAGTGACCCCCCCTCCTCAGGATGCAGACCCCACGGAGCGTCGGGGGCTGGGGGGCAAGGCTGCACAGTTTTCACTGGCTCTCTCCCGGGATGGGACGCCCCCCACGTTTAGATCAGAAGGACATTGAGAAGCCCGCGGGGAGGGTTTAAGGCATCCTTAAGAGTAATGGGTCTGGAAGGCCCCACCTGCAAAACGTCAGAGAAGTCAGGTGGCCGGAAGGCTGCCCACCCACCTGTGGCTGCTGAGGCCGGGCGTCCTCGTGCGGGCCGTCAGGGATGGCGGAGGCCACCACCTGCGGAGGGACAGCAAGGGGCCGGCCGAGTCAGGGGTGCCCAGCCCTCGCTGCCCATTCTGAACCCCGAAGTCGCCCATCTGCACGAGGGGTGCTGCCCAAGCCTGGCCCAAAGACGTTGGACCACGTGGTGGGGGCAGGGAGGTGGGAAAAATATGTTTGAAGAAGGAAAACATCTGTGCTGATCATTTTAACTTATTTTTCGTACAACCTTTAAAATATTCTTGTTTCTTAGAAGCAGTCATCTCCTGTGATAACAGGACTCCAAGTTGATGGATTAATGCAGCTCAGAGCCCCCTCCTCCACGCAGCCCTCCAGCAAAGACGCACGACACCTAGCCCTCGGGTGACCGGGGGGGTGTCAGGCCTGGCTGAGGGCCACCAGCTGGAAAGCAGAGTGCATCTTCCTTTGTGCACAGGGAACCTCCTTTCCCGCCTTTGGGGCGAGCTGCTCCCCGTCATCCTGTGACTTTGCTGCCCTGCCCTGACCCAGGGTGGGCAGAGGTGGCCCAGGCCAGCCTGCCTCGGGCCTCCCCAGGGTCTTGCTCTCTGAGGCAGAGATGCAGGGAGGACACAGAAACACAAAACTCAGGAGATGCTGAGGCCAGAAGAGCGAGTCGAAGGCGGAGGTAGGCAGGGTCGGCACCACCTTGGGGGTCCTCAGCAGCTTCTGGTGGGCTCCACCGCCAGGTTCCAAGACCCAGATCTGTGAGCCCCATTTGGAAACACTGCTGCCCGCCCCAGGAGCCTTGTGTCCTCTGTCCACCCACCGGCCTTGATGACCCCGGGTGTCCCTGTGAACTCAGCCTGGAAGCTCGGGACACGGAGTGAGCTCAGCAGGGGCCTGGCTGCCCGCCGCTCTGCGGCCTGCTGGGTGCTGCTGGCCCCTGAGCCCCTGGGGCCTGAGAAGCGAGAAGCTACCCCTCCCTTACCTTGGCCTTGCCCAAGAAATCCACGGGCTCCAGGTGCTCCAGGTGCCGCCTGTGCGGCCGGAAGACCTCACCCCTGGGGACCTGCCGAGGCTGCAGGGGGGCCTGTTTCTGGAGGGGGGTCCGGACAATGCAGACCTGAGCACTGGGCCAGGCCTGAGGCTGCAGGAACCTCAAAGCAGAAGGGACGGCTTGGCCCTGTCACCTACTTCCCATAGCCCATGGGAAGTCCAGCCCACACCTGGGCACATAGGCTGCCTCCCTCCAGAAGTTTCTTCAGCTCATATAGTCAGTCTTGGGGGCCAGACAGATGTGAGCCCCAAACTGCAGGCTATGGGCTGGGCAAGCCACCTGAGTCAGCTTAGGAGTCTGGCTCTGCTCACCTGCCCTCACCTGCCCCTCACCTGCCCCCCACCTGCCCCCTCACATCCCCTCACCTGCCCCCCACCTTCCCCCTCACCTGCCCTCACCTTCCCCCCACTTGCCCCTCACCTGCCCCCCACCTGCCCCCTCACATGCCCCTCACCT